AMMAAATTGCTTAAAGGCTGAAAAATTYTTRTGTACCTTTCTGATAGTGCTGRTGCTGTTTCTGCCTGAGAGGGAAGATGCTTTTACAATCAGCAGTTCCTGTTCTCTTCCAAGTCCCCTGTTAAAGTTCTGGCCGGTTCTCTCTGTGTTTAACTTCTGAGCCTGCAAAGTGAAGTGGACTGGCTGCAAGCCACATGAAACAGCCATGTGGGATAACAATAGSAGCCCAGCATTAGGTTGCTCTTGCTAGGCAGGGAGCTCAAGAGTTAATTTGTTTGATCTCAGTTATGAAGCCTTTCTCTGACGTGTGATATAAACCACTACCATGGTGTCAGTTCCACTTTGGAAGTTCGCGAATGTTTTGATGGGTGCCAGTGTGCCGGTTTAACATTCCCCCTGTGCCGGAGCCAAGGAGTCCAGTCCTAATTGTAACAACATGTGTGCTGGTCAGAAATGCCAGGAGATGATTTTGGTGCAACAAAAGGCTTGGGGGCTTTTTCTTGTTTTTCCTTGAAGGAAAGAGAACARTTGGAATTGAGGCTCTTCAAGCAAAAGCTGTTTGTACCTTTGTAGTAGCTGATGTTGCAACATTTGGCTCTGCTGTGCCAGGTGTGCTGTCCACWCCACTGTTGGTGGTGTATTTATTCAGAAGAATGGAAAAATGGAAAGCTCAGCACAGCTCAGGAATGAGTGAGCAGATTTTTAGTGAGGACGTCTTGCACAGGTAGAGGTAAAAGTCTGAGTATGAAGTGCGCTGGGGTTGAGCATCCACAGCAGGGAAAATAGAGATGTGTGATGTCTGACAGTAACACTGCAGGGCTTGGCACAGGGGACTCTTCTCTGGCAATGTGGCCATTTCTGTGTTGGATCACCACATTGCCATTATGGGAAGAACTGGAAAACACCAGTGTACACCACTGAGTATGTTACAAAGCACAGTATAATTATCCATGTTGCCTTTTGGCCAGGATGTCAGGATTAGCACTCCCTSCTCTGTCAAGAAATGTTTAAATGAGCACAGATGGTCATGACTCAGCCTGGGGTTCCCATGGATGTGTGGTGCGTGGTGTAAAACACTTGGACAATCCCCAATCTGATTGTACATCCAGCCAGATGAAGCTGGGCTCTCRAGAGGTTTGAGCTTAGGGGAGCTGTCTGGGGAGGGACTCAGGTTCTCCATCAGCCATTTTTCTTCCTAATACCTTCTGTGATGCAGTGGAATCTTTGGGCCTGGATCCCATCGAACTGAATGAGGAAAAACGAGTAAGAGAGAAAGAGCCTAGTGGTTGGAAGTACTGTATTTGCTGATCAGCTATGTTAAGAACATGGTAGAGAGGAATGCTCATGGGAAGTTAACCTCTGGGGTCATTCTGGAGCCCAAAAAAGGGGCAGAGCACTATTGAATTCCCTCCTTGGCTGGGATTCTGTCTCTTCTCTATTTTCTGCTTAGGACAGTAGGACCTAGAGACTTACTATTGYTAACACCCTTCTGTCAAGGTTCAAGTTTGGATTAAACACCTTATGATATGGCTTGTCCCAGCCTGAAGCCTGGAATTTCACCAGATGCACCTCATGTGGGATTCTTTGAGCATCTGTGATCCTGGACAGAGTTTGGTACTTTTGTGCCACAGTGCCTTGGTTCTCTGTGCTCTGCTATTGCTCATGCCATAGATATGTATAAGGGTTTGTGCAGTTTCTGAGAGATAGCTAAAATTTTTCAGCAGGCTTGATGCATCCCAGGARTTCTCTGTTCAGCACTTTGGTGTTGTATCATGATCCCATTTCTAATTCCATGGATATAAGCAGGTGTGGTGTGTAATGGACAAAGGGTTTTGCCAGTGGCAGTGCAAACAGGGTGTGGAGATGTGGGCTGGTATTATAGGAACCACATGCTTGTTAAGTGCCCTATTTAGGCTTGTCTGCATGGTCCCATTAAAGCGAGTGTTGGCTCCTTTGATGGGGCACAAGACTGGTTTCCCTCATGGTTTCCCTGATTTATGTCCCAGCAGAGAACTCAGACGGCAGTGAGGAAAGACCAAGTAATGAGAGAAGTGAGCCAAGCCTCACCCCCTCGGCGTGATAGGACATCAGATCCTTCAAATTCCTTTTCTTTGGTAGCCTGTTAGTTACAGGGTTTAAATCATGCCTTTTAAGGCACAGGTAGAGACACTAAAAAGCTTGGGCCTTTATGAATTAGGGCCTGGGTTGTGGAGTTAGAGTCATTTTCTCAATTAGTTAAACATAAATCAGTCTAACGAGGCACTTGGGAGCACTGGGCAGGTTTAATACCTTGTCTCTCCTGCTTCTGTCCATACCWCTCCCACCTGCTTGTTTGGCTGATCAGACAGTGATTTTTTTTTCCATGCTGCCAATCCTGAGCAGTGGGCTTTAATGTCTAAACTGCTTTTCACACCTGGCACATGARTGCCAGAGGGGAGAACTGGGAGAAATTGCTCTTGGGCAAGTAGGTAAAGCAGCTCTCACATGTGGCAGAGMTTCAACAGTCTCAGCACTCCAAGCCAGGCCATCCTTCAGGGGATGGGAAGAGTATCCTAATGAATAGGCAGTGGTGGGTGGTGATGTGAGTTCAGAAAGTTCAGCAGCAGCAGCAGGGATGGTGTTGGATGTGGTGTCAGACTGGAAAGCACATGCAGGGGCTGTGTTTGTGCTCTAGACCAGGGTAGTGAACACATTAATCCTTGTCCAGGAGTCCTTTCCTTGGCTCCACCATGTAAGGGCTGTGTTGGTTTCTGGAACTGATGGAAATTTGGGRTGGGATAGCTCTGATGGGGACCTGCGGGATCCATTTCAGCAGGCAGCAGGAGAAAAGCTTGGAGATTCCTCAGAGCAAAGAATGAAACCCYAAGAGATGAAAGAACCCATTTTATGCCTTGTGATGCCATTGAAGTGGATAKAAATCATCCAAAGGGAAAGCTGCTGTGTTAGGGATCTCCCTTCCATCTCTCWCACTATTTAGAATGGGTGAGGATGTGGTAAGATGTCAGAATGAAGGAACAGAGCCACTTCACTGGGATGAAGCCATGGCCCCGCTTCAGTCAGCATTCAAGGGTTGGAGCTGAGTAAGACAAAATCCTGCTCCAAAAATCCCTGCTGAGTCCACTCACTGCCTTGGGCACATGGATTAGGTCCAGAGAAACCACTCTACTTGTGCAGGCTCATCACTTCCCCCATTCCAGTGTAGACAGACTCTGTCCCAAGGAGGGGTTAATCCAATTCAGACATAATTTTCTTCACAGTTTCCCAGCTTGCATCTGGAGTAGGTTTCCGAGCATCACCCCAAACCCTGCATCACGTCCTGAGTGRTTCTGTAGCTGTTTAGGTGCTGACTCTGGTTGCTGATGGTGCACATTTCATTGTCTSTAGTGCTGATGGTCTCCCAGAGGTCGTGTCTCTGGCTTGGCTGTCGTGTGAGCTGCAGCTGCTCCCACGTTTTGGTGGTTTGCTTTATGGASAAGATGATACTCTTTGGCATGAGGATGTGCTCATGAAGAACCAGGTCCATTCCAGGGTTTTCCTAACGTGCTTCTCTGGTCCTCCAAGAAGAAAATCCTGCAGCTGTTTTAAAAAGTCATGCCTCRTTCTCTGCAGGATTTTCTTCTTGYTTCCAGATCTTTTTTYCCCCCATCTGCTAAAATGCCAGTTGTTTTCATTTCATCATTCCTCAAATCAAAATATTTAGCAATGGACTTTTCTCCATGACATCCCACCGCATCCCCTAACTACTGTGGGGTGTTCATCAGTCTCACTGACATTAACCAGTTCTGCAGGAGCACAGCACTGCCAAGCAGGCAGGCTCCACTCCTGGACTTGCTCAGCGTATCTGGTGCTGGCAGTGACAGTCCCCCTGTGAGTCTCTCAGGGATGGTGCTTTTGCTGGCAGAACTCGAGAAGCTGTTAGAAAATACTTTCCTTGTCCTGGCAAGTTGCACTTGGACCCTCATGGTGCTCTTTCTGGCCTCAACATTCCCAAAACCCTATCTGCTTTTCATAGAAGAGAGTCACCATTTGCKTTTCAAGGGCTCCTTAGTCTCCCCTGCCCCAGCTGCCTGCCACACTGGAGCCTTTCATTACTCAAACACTTCCCAGCCACCAGTAAGTTTTCTCCTTCTGTCTTTCAAACAGGTTTCCCTTTCTACTTTCAGCAGCTGCTGAGAAACTTCATGGCCCMATCTGTCCTCCAGGCCAGGCAAGTGCAGGGCTCCCCA